TGCATGGAGATGATACGGAGGTGATCTTCTTCATTGCACCAGACGAGGAAAGTCTTTTGCTTGTTGTGGAAGATCCCACGTCCCTTGGGCCAGTATCGGCAAGCATTGGCCTCTTGAAGGAAACTGGAAGCAATTAGAGCTCCAAAAACTAACTCAAGCTATGTTACTCACCGATCTCCCTCCTTGAAGAGGAAGTGATCCTTGATAAGTTGGTTTTGGACTTCCTTGGTCATTCCATCGAGAGGATAATAGCTTCCTTCAAGCTCGGAATCGGTAATGTTATCAAAAACTTTCTTGACTGTGGCTATAAGAATTTGATTTCATTACGTTCATAAGGTTCAAAACTACCTTCCATCTCGAGGTAGTTGGCCTCGGTCAAGCAGGGGTTGAATGGGTATCCGGCAAGAGAGCGTCCACATCTATAAGCAATTCCTCACTCTCATGTTCATTTACTGAACTTGACTCACCTAATACGGGTGGAGTTGATGTATTTGCCTTCAGGGTCAAGATCGACTAAATCGGCAGTCTTGCCCTCTCCAAGATCAGTAGCTGGTTGAACTTGGTCGGCAGAGAAGCCGTTGTGGTAATCCTAGAATATGAATAGAATATTTAAAATATCCAGCTCTGAAACTCACTTCGATCAGGGGATCAAAGAGTGGCTTGAAGAGAGTATAGGACTCAGCATCAGGTGCGTAAACACCGACTCCGGAATCAAGGTTGGCAACTCCTGTAAAAGCATTGTTCCATATTGGAACGATATGATGATGGCAAACCAGATTGAATAACATCAAGGAGAGTAGCTCCAAGAGCAGTCTTCTTATCCTTGAGTTGTTCAACGACTTCCTTGGTGAGATACTTTTTCACGAGCGAGTGGCAGTCCTTAGCATTCTATAAAATTGTAGAATTATAAAAAAACTTCCCATAAACATTGTTTTGAAAACAAAACAATGTAATGTTTTTTTTCCCATGATGTAGTCATTACAATGACGACAAAACATTAATTATTTCCTATCTACTACCAAACAAAAACTCGTCACAGATTATGGAGTGGACATTTTATCGAATTAGTTGTATATTAGGATGAATACATCCGTTTCCAAGACAACTCATTTTGAAAGCTTTTTTAAGAAAAACTTCATAATCGACCAATGATTATTAGTCCAGCTGTGATACATAAATATATATTTGATGAGCAATGCCGCAAGAATCTAACTTTTCATCTTCAATATACGCTAAAAAGCCTTCGTCTAAACACACAACTGCAAGCTCCACACCGACAGATGTTTGGAGTTGAAAATGCCAGATTTCGAAACCAACATATAAGAGAGTAAAGGCCATTTAGGTTTACAATCAATACTTAACATGTCAGTGGCAGCATGCGCATGTCGTTGTTACAAAAAAAAAACTAAACTCGAAATGACGAATAATCGCCTCTATTCAATGTATTGATAATGCGTTCACACCACTAGTCAGAATGAATTTCATGTTCATCCAGAACAGGAACATCAATACTTAAGCCAACAATGCCAATTGCAGAACAATTAAAAAATAAAATTAAACTCGTCAACGAACAATTTCGAATTCAAAAGTTTTTGACACATCGCCAATAGCGCTCAGAAAAAAAAATTACTGTCATTCTATTCTCAGGTATTCCGGATCTCACTATTCGGGTACAACAAAAATGAAATTCACACATTGAACTGTAGAAGTTCAGAGCAAAAAATCAGATTCGCATTCTGCGCGATAGGTTAAATTCGTAATTCTGGCTGATAAGCCGCTCATAAAACGGTCAAATGATCTTTCACGAATCGAAACTAGAGCAAACAAATTTCAAAAAGAAGGTAACTGACCTGAAGTTTCTCATAACCATCTTCGATCTTCTTGATAGTCTCTGGTGGGACAGCCATTATCACAGAATTGGAGAGCTCGTATATGTTCCGGACGAAACCGCGAATATACTGGTGAGCCAAGAGGCAGTGGCAGCCATACCGCGTTAGTCCCGCCCACATTCGATGTGTATGTTGTAGGGATCATGGGCAGAAGTAGAGAGTACGTGACAAAAAACAAATGATAATGAAAACAATATATTTCGCTTGACACGCAATCGACAATATTCATGAAGTATTCAAAATTAGCATATGCATTATGCGTGAGTACGTGAGTATGTCAATTGAACACTTCACTTCTCGTTTGATTCCCTCGTGAGCGGTGCACAAAAACCATTTGCATTCTTCTTTGCTTTCTTCTAACATTTCATATTAACGAAAGTTTCATCGATTTTTCTTTGTTTTGTGAAATATTATGCAGAAAAAACGTTGAAACTACAGTAAACATTAGCCTGTATTTGTGTCATATCTAGCATTCATTCTCGACAGTTTGTGGTCGTCAGAGAAAAGAGTTCCAAACTATAAATACAGAAAACACAGTATAGTTCTGAAAACTCGTTTGTGAAATGAAAAAATGAACCGCAGTTTCGGGAGGGAAGTTCAATCAAGCTCGGTAGGTAACATGGATGATTGGATTGACATACGCTCCAATGACAATCTTATGCTTATTGCGCTTTATCGCTTAGAATGATTAACCATTGGAAAGCTAATGTTGTCTTAAACGTTGTCAATGAAACATTTCCTCACAATCTCCTCTTAAGTTCTCAATTACCTAATCTTTGTTAATCATGTGATTAAAGCTACGATATGTTCAGTGTTTTATAGATGTCAGATGAGCCCTCAACTTCAACTGATTATCGACAGGAAATACTAACTCGATTAGAACAACGAAATGATAAATTGCGATTAGTTGAAAGACTCTTCTCGAACTGTTAGTAAACATAGAATCAATGAATGAAACAAATCTTATTTAGATGCGTTGCTTGTTGATGACTTAGCTAACGCTAGGATACACTCAGCTAGAAGCCGATCAATTAATACAAGGCAAGGCTAATAATGTTCCAATCGCTCAAAAAATAAAAATTCAGTAATTCTACGGAAGTTCAAGTACTGAGAGAAGAAATGACTGAACTATATAGACAGAAAAATAAGAATGACCAGGTTTTAGTTGTGCATTAGACAGACTCACAATCCGTTATAGGATTTGATCGAAGCTAACCGAAAACTCACAGAAACTAAAAGTTCGCTTGGTCGTGTTACCGATGAGTAAGAAGTTATTTCTTTCTCATATAATCCAATCATAACCCAAACAGGCGAGATAAGCTGAAAGTGGATCATGCCAAGCTATGCGCGAGGATTGCTGATTTGGAAGTTGCATTGAAAAACGTTCGATAGTCAAGTTCTTCGTTGATAACATGATGTAATTCAGATCAGAGAAGAGAATGAATCTCTACGAGATGAGTGGAACGCTTTGAAAACTCTCTCCACAGCACAACAGAAAAAAATTCTGAATTTGGAGCATGAGCAACTTCGACTGATCAACAAAGTGAAAGAGTTGAATGAACAGAGAGCTCTCAAGATGAACATGGAAATTGAAAATCAGGCAGCGTAAGAAACATTTAACTCCGGCCAATTAATCATTTCCAACATCAATTCAGTCTCCAACAACGTAGAATTCAAGAAGATATTGCACGAGCGATTGCAGAGCCCATGAAAGAAGAAAGAGCGTTAGTTGATCATGATCATTGTTGTTTGAATAAGAGTTATATAGGAGAACAATCTCAACTGCATCGGAACCAACTAATGATGTGAACTATGGTGACATGCTCCCTTCTCAACTCATGTCTCGAACTGTAAGTGAAAAACTAATAATCATTTGCTCATTGTTTTATTAGGAAGTTAACGAAGGAGATGTCATGGATGTTTTGTGGTTACATCCTGAAGTGTTCGCGACGGCTGGTGTGGACCGCATGGTTAAACTGTTTCGTTTAGACCATAATGGGAAACCTACAAAGCTGTGAGTGTTCTTCAATTCACCACATTGTTATTGGTTCTTTTCGTAGATGTGCATTAACAGGCAGTAATCAGGCTACGACTCGTTTGGATTATCTGCCAGACACTAAAAGTCTTTTAGCTGCTTCCAATGACCACAATATTCGATTGTGGAACATCGACACTCAGCAGAGTAAAGTAAGATTTTTATATTGTCCTTCCATCATGTAGTATTCCAGTGTACATTCTCGGGTCATACGGATAAGGTCACTTCGGCTCGTTTCCATCAGGGAAATCACTTCATATCCGGCTCATGTGATCGTTCTATAAAGATGTGGGATCTTCGTCAACAGAAAAGTATACCATATCACACACTACTCGAAAATTGAATAGTAAATGTCTTTCAGTCCTAGTTTCTTTCTTCCCTGGTTCAGCAGTCTACGATGTAACTGCAGAAACTAATGGTGGATCGTTGTTCTTGACAGGTTCGTTGATCATCAATAGAATCAGTATATTCATAACTTTAGGACATTTCGATAAGAAGCTCCGACTTTGGGATGGCAGAGATTCTCAGCCCATCAACTATGTAGACCTGGGAGGGAAGATAACATCACTAGCTATGGCTTCAGGTACTTTCTATACTCATACGTTATTCTAAAAAACCAACTTCAGATGGACACAATGTTCTTTGCTCCACAAGGGACGATACCTTGTCTCTAGTCGATATCAGAGCTTTACGGATAGTGCATAACTACAGGTAGAAGAAGAGTAGTCTAGCATATACTCTAAATTACTTACAGTGCGGAACAATATCACACTTCTTCTGATTTTTCTCGTTGCTCCATATCACCAACTATGGAATACTGCGTTGCTGGGTGAGTTTGAATACGACATTTCCTTGAAAGTCAGTTCTTTAGCTCGAGTAATGGAAGTATCTTTATTTGGAACACACACACTACGAAGCTCGAGAAGTGTTTGACACGTGGACACGAGTTAGTTTCTTCACCGTTATAGTAGAACACTTGATGTTTCAGTAATCCTGTACTAGCAGTATCTTGGAATTTCACTGGCAAAGGATTGCTCAGTAGTGATCGCCAAAAGCATGTCGTATACTGGTCATAACTCTTAACATTCCATTTTCTAACTTGCTCACTCTTTTCTTGTACATACTTCTGATAGTTCGAAGAAATGTTGTAAAAATTGTGAATACGAAATGAAATTCATTACCCATATCGCAAGAATGGAGCGATAGAAACGTTGACAATTCGATTGAGATCGCAAATACAACAAAGCCTTTGAGGTACATAATAGACTAGCGTTTCTTTGGCATATGTTATACATATAAGAAAATTGAACTAAACTTTGGGAAGAAGTGGGGGAGCTGAAGGATAAGGTGTGAGTTCAGCTCTCTCAGCTGCTCTCCTATTTCTGGCTGTTCGACGCTTCTTCAACCAAACGGCACAGCAACAGCAAGGAGTACAGAAACAGATTATACAACAACAGCAACATATCGGCAGAACACATAAGAGGGTCAGAACAATCATCCTGAAACACAAGAAGTAATAGTGGAACAATCACAGTATCTTTATTCTTTTTCAATCACTCCACATCCTCTTACCACAGCATACTCTTATAAGAATCGGGAAGTAAATGGTATAGCCATTGTATAATCCCTGCCCAATCAAAAGTGAGCAAGGAGATCCATATAGATGGAACATCATCGTCATCTGACATTCAATCCTAAGCTCAACAATTTTGAGATAAAAATAATTCGAGAGGAAACTATCGTTAAAATAACAAGCTCAATCTTCAAATGGGTGCATTGGGAAATAGCATGGCGCTTGTGGCTTACAGAGAGCAATCGATATCTTCAACAACACAAGAACAACTCTGGATAATGAGCCAAAAAACGTGAATACAGTTTAAACGATAAGCGTTGTTCTCAATATAGAAACATATGCTTCCGTGAACCTTTGGTACATGAGTCATGTGCTCAACTAAGCACTACGAGAACTATCATGAGTTCTATATCAGCTTTTCCGGTTACGAAATGGCACTTTGAAAGAGTGTCTCTAGGAACATGCATTCCTTGTTATTTGGAACCACTTATTCCGTACAAATATACTAACCATTGCCAATCTACATCGTGACATTGGTCTTCTGATCCTTCGGAGAACTCGTAGACCCGACGAACTAAATTCATTCGTTCCATGAGACACTTAATGCCTGATTTGACAACTTTGGTAGCCACTGCTTGCAAAGTTGGGTCTTCCATAATAGAGAAACGAGAGCGAGGCAATAATCACGCAATGAAGAGTAACAGTAGGTATATTATAAGAAGGAAGCGCTTTGTGTATATTGCGGTGTGAGGATTGTTTGAAGAAAATTGAAAGACAGGTTTCCGTTTTATATCGAAGGACATACGAGCCCCCTCTACCTCAGAAATATTTCAACTCCCTCCTGAACTTATACTACAAAGTAAATAAGTCACAGAGATGCTGACTACTGCGATGTTATGAGAATAAAAAAACTGACGTTCTCAATCCAGGTGCGCAAGCTATCGCAGGAGATGACGAATCATTGCAACTATCAGCATAATAACAACTCATATAACATGCTTCCAAACAGTTCTCCATTTTATCGAAGCATGTTACGGACATCCCTGAGTGAAAATGAAAGATGAATTGAAGATAAAAATATTCAAAACCTGAGATTGAAGTTCCACCAGTTTCATGAATGTCGACGGAAGCAGAAACCTCTTCCAAGCTTAAGCCTTAAACGATATTATATGTTTCATTATTAGTTTATACTTACCGACTAGGATGAGTAATAAGAAGATCATCCTCATTTCAGATTTCGGAAGAAGCGACGACTCCATGGTGAAAGTCCTCACGTGACTCACAAGTGGGAAGTTCAAAACTCTGAACCAACCCTGAAAATAATCAATAGTTCATGTCTTCAAGTTATGAATCGGCATTACAGCCGTAGCACAGCTTAAAGCAACCGCTCCCGACTATTGGTCGGAACAAAATGAAAATAAAAAGAAATCTTTAAAGATTGTATTTCGAAATCAGAAGACGCTCTATTGCGAACATTTGGATATAAAGAAATTTATATTGCTCTAAAATACTTCTACAACATCTCATCTAGATGGATATGATTATATAATATAGTACATTTTATAAATGTTTGATAACTTATGATCAATATGGCTAAGTGAAGTGCGAGACCAGTTTTGCAATCACAAGGTTAGTATAATAATATGAATACATGTATGGAAAGTGATTTAAGTAGAATCAGCAACCGCAGGAGGAGAATATCGAACAGCTGGCTCTGGTTTCTTCATTTGTTCTTTATCCTAAAGAAAAGCATTATTCTATTGCTCTTAAAATTTCCTTACATATGTATATACTAAAAAGGAAGAAAGAATGAAAATACACGTCACTACAATGAACATCAAGAACGAGAAGACTGTCCAAGAGTATCCTCCGATGTTTGGAAAATGTGCTTTTGGTACTAAAACGCATGCTCCCTGAATTCATATTCTTAAAATTATCGGTTTCAATCTCTTTCCAAACTTCCATGCAGATCATATTCATTCCACAATTCTCGTGATCGGATCGAAGTAAATCCGCTTCAGGAGAGCAAACGCCATCTTTATCTCTACAACACCGAAGACATACATTTTTTCCTTCAAATTTATTATCCCGGAATCTTTTGTGCGCTCAAAATACCTGTACAAGTGCAATCTTGCTTTTTATTCATTTCGCAGAAGGAGATGCAGGTACCATTCATACACGTTCCATTTCCATAGCAAGTAGTATTGTGCAACTTTTCCGTCGGTGGGCAATTTGCATGGAAACCACTGAGTTTACTACCATATATGGATGATATTTTTGAAAAACTAACTTGCAGTATGTGTTGTCTTCGCATAGCTCAGGAACGGAATCATAACACTTGCGGGATGTATTATGTAATTTACAATCTTCAGTGCAACAAGCATGGTTCAGAGGTGAACATCTAGCATTAGCTGCGAAAGTACAATTCGGCATACAACATGCGTCTGAAAGCTCAAGTATTCACTGAGATTGGGAAAAACTGTTAACCATTGATTTTATCCCCGCTATCACATTCTTCGGATTTTTCCACATAACCATTGCCACAAATATTCTTTGAACGCTCCTGAAAAGCGAAAGTCGAATAGAGTTGAGAGTTATCTTACCACAAAGCAGCCCCCGTTATTTTCGATATCACTTATGTTATCACTTATGTTTTTTTTCGAATCGGGGGAGAAAGTCTAAACATTTATTGAAGGAACTCTAGTGGAGTAACGATACTCACGTAATGACTATCCTTGTAACCGTTTACTTGATAACTTCTTAGCAAGGAATCTATTTCACTAAAATCATCATGATCAGAGCCCCATAAGTGTGCGTATTCTTGAAAAAATGATTTCAAGTAATAAACTGGTTTACACCTACCATGAGCAGCAACCAAATAGCTCTTCAAAGAGTTGTAATCAGAAAAATTATCAGCGGCACGAGTGACAACTGCATTCCTGTTGTTGCATATACCAGTATTTGGACTAGCCGTATCGGATACTCCCAAGTGTTGACTGTCTATGAACATCTTGCCAGTGATCAAATGGCAGATACACGTGTTGTTACAGTAAGAGCTCAGCACGAAGCTCTGAATTATACCCAAGATTATTTTTAAAAAAGGAATAACAACTACATCGCGTAGATCCGACATGTTCCACAGAATATCTCCAGAATATTCAAAGGATTTATTATTGCTGTGGTTATCCTTCAGAATATCGATAGAAATGACTTGCATCCCCATCCCAACATATCTATGCATCGATAATAATCGCTTGAGGCTCATTATCATACCTTCCTCTGTTCTTTTCATTTAGATCGTTGTCAGAATAACCTTCGTCGAAGTCAGTTCTCGTGAAAATCTCGTTCACTTTCTCCATCATAGTGTTCTTTAACAGCTGATTAAGGAAAGAATTGAAAAAAAAACAACTGACAACGTAGCTATAAACCGCTGTGAGATCTCGGTCCTTCGCGTAGTTACTGTCAACCACTATGCGCACATTACATCGGTTTAGTTTATGAGGTTCAACAACGCTTTTCTAGGTTTAAAATAGCATACTTTATAAATTCTGAAAGTGAAATACATTTTCGTGTGTTTCACGTGAGGAAATGAAGGGTACACTCCGTTTACATGAAGTATGATTTGTTCTTATTGGGGAAAGAACTTCAGGAGCTATATTCACAGGCTCATCGACCAGCATAAATAGGATGTCACTGTAGTTTAATATTCATGAAAGAAAAGAGAGCAGAGTTGTAACCCTTGGTTGGAGTGAGCATCACTGGGCAAAACTGGTCGGAAGATAATATTTCCTTTTTCAGATTGAATTGTTCCATAATATAGCTTTAATGAGTCCATTAGATTCACACGGGATCTGTTATCTCCTGAGATTACCACCATGTAGATGAAGATTAATCTTCCGTCTTACCTATGACTTTACCTACGTAATCAGCAATACCCAATTCATGGACCCGAACCACGTTTTCAGCGTTATTCTGAGAATATTTTAGAACACAATTAGCTTGTATGGGAGGTTCACAACGATGAAGAGCTAACTCAAACAAACTTCCTGAAAATCATCTTCAGGAAACCTCTGCGAACTATTCGTACCGAAAACAGTGAATTGTAGTCCTAGAAGCTCATTTAAACCTCTAAGCTCTTTTCGGATGAAAGACTGTGATGAGACTACCTCTGCTTTTAAAATTTTACCATGAACAGGTAATAATAAGCAGAGGTAAAAAATAGATAAAACACTTGGAAACCACATACTCCATTTCTAAAATTAAGGAACGATGATAGCATTCTACTGTGGAAGAGTTGAGTTCTCACGTTTAACTTGCCGGATCTACCATAGGCATATATCCATTACGATACTATAACTCTGAAGGCGAATAACCAAAAAAACTAGACGTGGGATGGAAAATGTTGAAACTACGTATTCGAATCTAACCCCCGAAATTTTCGGTCTCGCAGGGAAAACCCTGATCTTGATTCTGGTCCTCTGATTCTTGGTTTTCTTTTTGTTATTGATTCCAATATATTTAAAAATAAACGGGACAAATAGAAAAATTAGCTAACTATCAAGTCGAAAAGCCTCAATAACGATGCCTCTCATCCCTCTATATTAATCAGACTTCTACATCATTCTGTTCTCGTCGAAGTGAACTTAGTTTTTGATTTTTCCTCTTTAATCGTTTCTCAGTCTCCATAGATCAGATTTCTCCGAAAACATACATTTTAAATCTTATTCAAGTTATAGAATGGCTGATCTTGCCCAACATGCCATACCGGCGGTGGACATGATTAATGCCACCTCTAGGCTTCAACTGGAGGCTGCTGAGGTTCGTACAATATTGTTTTGCTCCAAATATCTCGAAATTCCGCGCAGGTCAGAACAAATAAGCCCAACTGGGGATCTTATTTGCGTTCTCAAATGGTTCCACAGGAAGATTACAATTTTTTCACAGCCTATGAAGCCGCTAAGGTTTTCCACTAATACAATTTTCCATCCTCAACCCCAAATTTAGAACAAGGAAGAGAGAGATGCTGTTCTTAAAGCGAATGATGAAAATGGACAAGCTGTGAAAACTATTGTCAACTTGATAACCAATGTGGCTAAAGATCAGAACGTGCGCTATGTGCTTACTGTTCTCGATGATATGCTTCAGGTTTAGTTTTATTCCTGAAATTACTCTATTCCATGAAATTGTAGGAAGATAAAAATCGGGTCGAAATTTTCCATAGAGCTGCTGCAACCAGCAACAAGACTGTCTGGTCTTGGTTTTTGGGAATTCTCCAACGTCAAGATAACTTCATTGTTAACCAAATGAGCTCTATTATCGCCAAGCTTGCCTGCTTCGGAAGTACTCTCATGGCCGGAGCTGAACTCAACTACTACTTCGCTTTCTTGAAAGATCAACTTAAAAGCGCTTCTGTATGTTCATTCCTGAAAACGTGTATTACCCATATGTTTCAGAGCAACGAGTACATGAATACCACCGCTAGATGTCTCCAGATGATGCTCAGAATCGATTCATACAGGTATAATTAAAATACTCTTTTGATTAAACAGTATAAATTAGAATCGCTTTCGTGGAAGCCGACGGCATTCAAGCTATCGTTGCTGCTCTGAACGGAAAGACTAACTTCCAACTCCAATACCAACTCATATTCGCCATCTGGTTTATTATACTTCTTCTATTTTCTTAATTTTTCTCTATTTCTCAGGTGCTTGACCTTCAGTCCTGAAATCGCAAGAAAGGCTCCTTCTTGCGGTGTTATTCAGGCTCTCGGTGATATTCTCTCTGAAAGTTCCAAGGAAAAAGTGATCAGAATCATTCTTGCTACGTTTAGCAACATTCTCAACAAGGTTGGTAATTTCCTAATGCTAACAGCCTAATGTTTGGTTTGTAGGTAGAAGAACGTGAAATCAAGAGAGAAGCTGCTCTCCAAATGGTCCAATGCAAGACTTTGAAGACACTCGAGCTTATGGATGCTAAGAAGTATGATGATGTTGATTTGGAGGTGAGCTGAAAACGAGATTAACCAAAAACCATTCGAATGTTATCAGGAAGACATCAACTTCTTAAACGAACAACTCCATCTCTCCGTTCAAGATCTCAGCTCTTTCGATGAGTACTGTGCTGAGGTCAGATCTGGAAGACTTCAATGGTCTCCCGTCCACAAATCTGAGAAGTTCTGGAGAGAGAATGCTGCTCGTTTCAATGACAAGGGATATGAACTCTTGAAGTAAAGAAGCTCTATAAGAGTATTCTGATCATGATTGTTTAGGACTTTGATTCGTCTCTTGGAGACCAGCTCCGATCCTCTCATCCGTTGTGTAGCTGCTCATGATATCGGAGAATACGTAAGGCACTACCCTAGAGGAAAAACGTAAGTTGCTAATAGAATATCTGGAATCATACCTTTTTTGAAGCGTTATTGAACAACAACAAGGAAAGCAAGCCGTCATGAAACTTTTAACCGCTGAAGATCCAAATGTCCGTTATCACGCTCTTTTAGCTGTTCAAAAGTTGATGGTAAGCAGAAAGAACTCTTCAAAAAACTAAACTGAGTTGTTTGCAGGTTCACAATTGGGAATACCTAGGAAAGCAGATTGACAATGAAGCTGAAACCGCCACTGCCAAGTAATGCCCTAGCCTTGTTAGATATATTTTAGTCGAAATAGATGCGATACCTTAACCGTAATGTGATACTGTGTTACCATTCATTCCATGTAATGTATTCTTTTGTACTGTATATTTGCACCCTAGTACTAATAAATGTATAAACTAACTGTTTCATTTGATCATTATGCTCTGAAAGTCAACTGGCTCACTTATCACACGCGTCATTACGCCATTCAGTACACGTTTCCCACGTGCTTGTGCGCAAACTAGTTCATGCTCGACACGTATCTAGCATGTATAGGAATTTATCTTTCAGTCTGATATTATTTGGCATTGGGAACGGTTGCACGAGTTTAATTTAACTTTTCCAAGTTAATCCCATGTATTCACTTATCCAAATGTGCCCAACTTCTCCTAGTACACCTATTTTGACAGATATTTCAAGCAGAAGCATCTCGAGGCACCCAAGCCGCATATCGTCATACACCCAACCAAACAAGAGAAGTAAAGTTAATAATGTTTCTTACAAGAACCCAACAACGACTGATGATTAGAAGAAGTGATCATTTTCAACTCCGGCGATAGATCAAGCCAAAAACAAAGCCTCACAGTTTCATAGGTCAACAATTTATGATTTATAACAATTACAGCAAACAAATTTAACGTCTGCGGTGAACGCTGCGCTTGACCTTGGGCTTGGGAGGGAGGATGATACCGTCGTACTGAAAATCATTATATTAGATAAGTATATTTGAATATTATTGTGATTTATATGGTCTATCCCAACTGTCACGGCACTATTAGCACTACAGAGAGAACAGGAATATATAAACAGAGCCGGGCATTGCTCAAAGAACAGGCCACACAGCTCTTTTCTCTAGGAAATGGCGTACGTAAAACTTCTTTAACCTTTCGGCTCTGAAGATTACTTATTTCGCTAATGGTGGAACCGTGAAGCTCCTCCACTTTCATCTCCAGACTACTGATCAAGAATGAAATAAAACCGAACCTTCTGTTGGAACCATTTGACAGATTCTTCACGTTCTACTCTGTGGGTAATTCCAACGTGTCCTGGGGCACGTCTTCTCTTAGCAACACGACGTCCAGCACGGTCGAGGACGACGTAGAAGTCCATACCATAAATTCCGATGGAAGGATCGTACTTGATTCCAAGATCGATGTGCTCCTGTAAAAAATGTTATTCATATGGTCTCTCCTAACTGTCCAGGCATCATTGACGCTACAGAACGATAAGGAATATATGATTATAACCGGGCATTGTTCCAAGAACAGGCCACACAGCTAATATTATTGGACTGGGCGAACAGATCAACCATTACCTAGGCCTTTTCAGGCAAGAAGGGATCTATGATTCGCAAAAGCTTAGCTTCCGAAGAAACTAAACCTCCACCAATCCGTACTAATTTTTCGATGAATGTTGGAACATACCTGGATACCGAATCCGAAGTTTCCGGTGTTGGAGAAGTTCTCCTTGTACAACTCGTATTCCTTAACCTTCAATCCCTTCTCGAGGATTTCCTCAGCCTTAGGTCCACGAACAGTGCAGTGGACAGCGATCTTTTCGTTTCTACGGATACCGAAAGAACGGACAGTGTAGCGGGCCTTGGAGAAAACTGGGGTTTGTCCAGTAAGTTGTTCCAAAACCTATATTAAAGAAACTATCGAAGAAAAATTTTTAAAAAATGTTACCTTAGCGGCACGGGTGAGTCTATCTCCAGATTCTCCGACGCAGATGTTGAGGCAGAGTTTTGAAATCTTAAGCTCTCTCATAACATTCTTCGCTTTCTTCTCGCGGATTTCCGCAAGCTTCTCAGCGTCACCCATAGTCTGAAGCAAAAATGGCAATGAAAGTCTGTTAAGATATGTTAATAAGACTGTAAAAGACAAATGCAGATGAAACAGAAGCCTACAGACAACGTAAAATACAACTAAATACCCAAAAATTGAAACATCAAATAACTATAAAAACAAAACCTTCGATAAATCCCAACGAAATTTTAGGTAGAAGGCAAAATTCGACAAATTCTCAATATTTTACGGGTTACGGTAGTCTTAGGCGGGGAACATGCACATCTAACTTCGCCTGGACTATTGCCGAGTTGTTGACAGATAGTCGTTTTTATCAATTATCAACTGTGAAGTTCTAATTTAAAAAGGGTTTTTGTTTTCTATTTTAATGATGAGAAGCTCACTTTTTCGATTACCTAAGAGTACAGTTACAGTAGCCAATTATTCAACTAGAGTAGGTTCTTACATATGTTTCTTTATAACTACTGACCGAATATAGAGAAAGACCTTTAAAGTTGTGGAAGTTGGAGCTAGAGATGGTTTACAGAATGAAAAGGTAACGCGAAACTTCAAAGATTAATGAGGAAGTCTGACTTCAGACGATAGTACCGGTTGAAACAAAAGTTTCGTTGATCAATAAATTGAGTGATTGTGGTTTGAAGGTCAGTGGCACTGATCAGTATGCATATTTTGAAATGTTTGAAGACTGTTGAAGCTACTAGCTTCGTTTCTCCAAAATGGGTACCTCAAATGGCTGATCACAATGAAGTAATCACGAAGATTTTCAAAAAACAAGGTGTCTCCTATCCCGTGCTCGTACCGAACTTGGCAGGCTTCAAGAATGCTGTATAGAAACATTCTCAATTACGTTCTGATTCAAAAATTGATTTTATAGTTAGGAAATGGGAATGTTAGAGAAATCGCCGTGTTTGGCGCTGCATCAAACTCATTCTCAAAGTATGTTTCTGCTGTCTTAAGTCCTAAAGTTTACTTCAAGGAAAAATGTGAACGCTACAATCGAAGAGAGTTTGAAGAAACTAGAAGACGTTACGAGAGCTGCGATTAAAGAGGATATTCTAGTTCGAGGGTATGAAGGGTCTGAAGATCATCACGCATGCTATCCCTTTATAGATACGTGTCATGTGTAGTTGGATGTCCGTATGAGGGTCCCATAGATCCCAACATTGTCGCCCGCGTCACTGAAGCTTTACTTTCCTATGGATGTTACGAAGGTTTTTTTAACTAAGGTCGGACATTATTAGTATTTGTATGCAGTTTCTCTCGGAGATACTATTGGCGTTGGTAGTGCAGGTTCTGTCAAGAGAATGCTTGATACAGTTCTCCAAAGCGTACCAGCGGAGAAACTTGCTGTTCACTTCCATGACACGTATGGTCAAGCTTTGACCAATGTTCTCGTTGCCATAGATGTAAGGAACATTCATAAATGTTCTTCTATTTTCATATCTATAGAAAGGTATTACTGTAGCTGATTCGTCTATTGCTGGTCTGGGCGGATGTCCTTATGCCAAAGGTGCTACCGGAAATGTGGCCACTGAAGATCTCGTTTATCTTCTTCATGACTTAGGATTCGATACGGTAACTTTCTATTTCCCAAGTCAAATATAATATGGTTTCCCAGGGTATTAATTTGAACAAGCTCATAGAAGTATCTAACTGGATTTGCCAAGAAATGGGTCGAAACAACAATTCGCATGTTGCAAATGCTCTTTTAGCCAAACAATTAAAATTGTAGAGTTATTAAGTTCTGTTCATTAGGAATAAACATTCTTATAAACAACAATTTATCAGTAATAACAACGATTTCATTACAAAGCCTCTTGTTGAGCCTTGGCTTCCAAGAGAAGAGCCTTCTTTTGGGCAACACGTTCCTTTCTCTCTCCGTAGGTGAGTTTCTTGAACTTGTAGGTGGTGTTGTGCTGGGTCTTGGCTGGCTTCTTTTCGGCGGCATCTGGGTTGGCTCTGATGGCGGAGTGAGCCTTAGTGTACATCTGAAATTGTAAGCTATATGGTTTTTCCCAAAAATCACGGTGCCATAAGCACTATCCAGCGATATAGAATATATAACTTAGATCGGGCATCTTAAGAAAGGGCCACGCAATCTTCTACTATATGGTTGGCTGATTCGAAGTTAACCTTACTAGGCAGTTAAGCCGAAGGAATTCATAGTTTCAGCGGAGAACTTTCATTCAACAACCAAAATATAAAAATGTTGAAAAAAACTCACGCTCTCGATGGAATCGGCGTTAATTCCGCTCTTGATGAATTGGGAGAATTGTCTTTTGTAGGCATCCTCGTCTTCCTCCTTGAGGGACTTCATGTACTCGGCAACGTGCTTTCCGAAGATACGGTCACGGTGAGCCTCGGCGTTGTATTCCTTGGATTCAGAGTCGAATCCGAAGAAACGGGTTTCACTGTAATAAGAAAAAGATTTAATTTTCATAACTTCACAAGTCTTACCTGTGGGGGACTTCAACTCCTCCATCAGCAACTCCCTTCAAGACGGCGAAGATCTTGCAACCAGTGGTGGTACGGGCAAGTCCAGCATCAAGGAAAGCCTTGAATGGAGCACGGTCTCCGTCAGACTCTACATTGTAGTACTCTCCATCGACCTACAATGAATTAATTAATTAACACAGAACAGTTTAATAAATACTACCTTCTCTTGTCCCTTGTACTTATCAGCAAGTTCGAATTTCTTGAGATGACGACGAGCCAAAAGAAGTCCAGTGGCGTAAGCAGCAGCGTAGTTGGTGAGACCAGCCTACAGTAGAAGTATTAAGCTAATTTACAGAAAAAGATCAAATTCACCTTGATTCCGTAACGTGGAAGCTCGTGAGCGTAAGCGGCAGATACAACAATATCTCCTTCGATCTTGGAGTAAGTGATCTACACAATATCAATTTAAAGAGATAAAAATTGAAACTTCAAACCTGAGCAATGATATCCTTGTTGGTGAAACGGACGACAAGTCTGTACTTGGGGGTGTTGTACTTGTTCTTATCCTGGACGGTCAAACGTTTTCTGGCATAATAGTCAGTCTTTCCTTGACGTCTACGCTTCAGCTTTACTTGGTAGCGCTTGAAGTAGGCCTTATTTTTAACAACTTTTACGAGACCCATTGTTACCCTTAAAAACAATCTCTTACTATTATATAAAACGAAATTAATAGAAAATAGCCAGACAAGACATCCAAAAATAAATAAAAAAATAGGCAAATGTCCTAAAATCCCACCAAGGAGTAGCAATTGAAGGACTACGTTGACATTGGGCCGCGCTGAAGCGTCGAATACTCAGCGCGGTTCCCGCGCGGAAATTTCCAGTGTTGGCTTATTTGAAATAATGAATAATTATCATTATCAGAAGTAAAGAATTAATAAGAAGCCTGTATCTTCAGCTTTAAGCATGTCAGAAGGTTTTGTAAACCTATTCTCGGATGTAGTTTGGGTAGTTTAATAAGGAAATGGGTATTGTGTATTACAGGAAAATGAATCAAAATCGTTCTGGGATCCAAATTTACATTTTCCACAACTCAGTGAAAGTATTATATTTGTTCTTTTGAAACTCAATGATAATACAATCGAAACGTTTATCATATAAATTTTTTCAGAATTCGATGAAGATTTCCAAAATCTTAATTTCGATTATGATGGAGCTGCCAAGTTAGGGTTGGAGAGTTGGTTGAATTGGACTACGTTATTGTGCCCATTGCAGTGGAGCTCTTGATGAAGACAACGACATAGCTAGAGAAAGTAAATTCGATGGATCAGAAGATAAAAGTTCTTCATATTGGTTAGTGATAATCTATACTATGAGTTGTTCATGGAGACATTAACAGGAAATCTGCGCGCTATGAATACGGAATCAATTATAACATTATGACAAAGGAACCGATTTATGTAGATAGAGTTAGTGGCATCATTCCCTCATCTTTAACACTTATAATAGAATCCTCCTGCCAAGGTTGAAGGGGTTGAAATGGCTGAGTATTGTAGAAAACTGGTGAGTCTCGAAGCATGTGTTCATTCCAACCGTTGTCCTTCCTAGTATGAATGCAAAGCTGATCAGGATTCTCTTCTAGCTGCTCCCGAAGTCGAACATTTGGTGTATGGAGAGAAGTGGAACGTAAGTGTATTAGTTATAGATATCATAGAACTTTCCATTAAGGGAACCTTATCAGAATATGATTGGTGCTTACAAACAAACGCTGACGGCTTGGATCAATTGACAATATTAGACTTGCAATCAGCTATATGCGCCTCACTCAACTCTAAACAAACCCTGGTTTGGGTTATAGGGATTGAATCTACACGATTAGTAAGATATTACCTGGTATTAATGAAATCGTTACTTATTCAGATTAGAGGAGTCCCTATGGATAGAAAACAACGAGACTCTTTTCGACAAAGCTGCGACTTCGCTCTTTCGAATGAGTTCTTACCTGCTCTCAATCCGACACTTGTATCATTGCGTTTTTTACCAGTACGTTCAATAGATATTATGATGTTTACTGATCACGCCTATAGGTTGTAAATGCCAGAGAAGAAGAATTGTACGTAATTGAAATCACTGTACCTCAAACTGTGGACACTGTGAGTTCCGAATGTTAATTGAAATGAGTCATCTCTACTCAGATTTATCAACTCTCACATGGACGTATATTTTGCGTAGAAGATGGGCGCCCGAAATTATTTGAAACGTTTAATGATGTAAGTGAAAATAGATCAATAGGAATTTCACAATATTTTCAAGGCTTATCAAGTATTGCTGAGTAACTCGGAGACCAAATATACCTGTCCATATCATCCAAAAAGGTACGAATTTTCATATTTTTGATTATCAATGCTTCCGTTAAGGAGTTCCACCTCACCGTTCTATTTGGGCGTTTTTGCTGGTGTCATCCTGAGTGTTCTTATTATTGGAGCTTACACTCGTTAAACAATTGAAGGCTTTGCATTTTTATAATTAACTTAATCACTGTAAATGATATAAATCGTTTTTCTTGAATCTCTCGTTGACGTGTTAACCGTTTCAATACTTACACCACTATTAGACTGCATTAATAGCAAACTCTTAGGCAGCTCTAAGTTCATAACTCAGCTATGGTGGGATATCCTGAAATTAGTCTTCTTTATCGTTAAACTGTTTAGTCTTTCGCTGGTTTCCTTGACATTGCGAGGAAAGATGTAGAGCTGTTGGAAAGTTGTCCCAAAAAGCTATTGACTAGCTTACACTCGGACTTCATATACAAGTTCGAAAGCAACAAAGAGTCACCTGTAAGTTCTTCTCGCATTGTGTCTATTGTATCTCTTTGGAGGAATATGTAATGGCCGAGCCTCTACGTACTAGCGGAATCTATTGGTGTTGCAGTGCAATGGATGTCATGGGCCAAGTATTTATCCGACTAATTACCATACTATTTTTTTTCTAAGCTCGACCGTATGTCAGCTGATGATATTGTACAGTATGTTCGTAGTTGCCAATGCGAAGACGGTGGATTCGCACCGGCTCCAGGACATAAAAGCCATTTACTTCACACTCTTGCTGCTGTGCAGGTAGAACCCACTGATTAACATTCATGTTACCATTCTATCCTTTAGACTCTTATAATATTTGATAAACTCGATCTGTTAGATTTCGATAAAGTTGAATCGTTTGTTCTGAACTTGGAAAACGAGGATGGTAGTTTCTGCGGTGATACATCAAGTAAGTTCAATACTTCTTACAAAAACTTACACATAGTATGTCAGGTGAGATCGACACGCGTTTCTCGTTTGTTGCTGTAGCAACCCTACACCTTCTCAACCGTCTACAAAACTATAACTTCAAAAAGAGCTTGAAGTATGTGCTCAGCTGTTACAACTTCGATGGTGGATTTGGTACACGGCCAGGATCTGAAAGTCATTCGGGACAGGTTTATAATTATACTATACTATTATTAATATTCTGCTCAGGTGTATTGCTGCTTGGGTTTTCTTTCTGTCACTAACAACTTGGACGCAATAGATGTTAACCGCACCGCAGAGTGGCTAGCTCATCGACAATGTGCCAGTGGTGGTCTTAATGGTAACTTATAATTAAAAATAGACGGAAGACAACTATTTTTAAGGACGTCCGGAAAAACTGCCAGATGTTTGTTATTCTTGGTGGGTACTTGCATCTTTGGCTATGTTGCGGAAACTTCATTGGGTGGATAAGGTAGGTTCTTCATCTTGTTTGGAAACAAATCAGGCTTTCAGGAAATGATGATTAAGTTCATATATGCCTGTCAAGATGACGAAACAGGTGGTTTCGCAGATAGACCAGGAGACTGTGTATGTCACCTTTCCCGAGAAATTTTCTTTTTAAAATGCATCGTTTCAGGCAGATCCTTTCCATACCCACTTTGGTTTGGCGGCATTATCGTTACTTGGCGAGAATGAGGAACTAAAACCTGTCGATGCTGTGTTCTGTATGACTAAATCCTGCTTGAAAGAGAAGAGTTTGATCTAATTTGTAAAACTGTGATATGCCATTTTATATTTATTTGTACTACAGCATGATATAAACTTCTTTTATACCCCTGCGAGACACACAGAACGGTTGCTTTGAATGCATTTTTTCCAGATTCGAGAAGGGTCACACATGCGAGCTGCACAAGCATCACTAATCATGTTTATCCAAGCAATTTAAATGAAAGAAGAGCAAATCTCTACCAAAAATACAGATTAACTCAAATTTCTCGATCATTTAGTGGATTATATAAATGTTGCTGTCGGCAGACGCTCGTAATTAGAGGTTGAGTTGGGAAAGTTCTGTCGACA